GACTTTAAAGTGCCCCTTTCCAGCCGGGCAGGTGCCGAGCGCTGCCCCAGGCCCTGGGTGTTCCCGGGCTGCTCCAAAGGCACGGCAAAGGCACCCTGGAATCTGCATTTCTCGGTCACTGGGCCATTGTCTGCGCCCGCGAATGCAGATCCTATCGTTAGGGTTTTAATTAGCCCGGCATTGACGGGGAAATGCAAATCGGGCCGGGAAAATGGAGCCGCGTTTTGGAGGCACGAGCTGCTGTTAATGCACGTAATTAAAGCGCTAAGTGATTGTTCCTTCCCCGCCGAGCTGCGAGTGTCACTCAAGGCAGGAGCTTTCAAGTGCTATAAATAATCCAGCTGATGGAGATAAGGGATGGAGTATGGAGAGCTCAGATAATGCTCGTCTTATTCACAATTTGAATTTAATCATCTCTTTTCAGGCGGGGGCTGCAGCGGAGGAGCCGATTCAAGGATCAGGTTGAGGGGCACAGTCCGTCTCTCCGATGGTTCTGGTCATTCAAAAACAGGTTTTTGGTGACCTTTACTCTGAACAAATCCCGGCGTTTTAGTAAATTGCTTTCAAAAATTGCTGCTTTTATCCCCTGACCGGTATCTCCAGCAGTTGGGCACCTGGGGAGCGAGGAGATTAAAGGTGGCGAGTGAATCTTGGGGCTGTGAAATGTTCAAGTGGAATCCCACAAAACCACCTTGGTTTTCTCTTTTCGGAAAGCTGCAGCTTTTGGGGTTTTATTTTTTTTCAAAGCAGGTTTCTCATTCATTGCGTACCCAGCGTGGTCAGGAAAATCCGATTAAAACCTCCAGGTGGAATTTTTGAATTTTGGGTGGTGCTGAATTTGGGGACGGAGCCGTGGGAATCCCAAATCCTCGGAGCTTTCCCGTGGGTCAGGAGTTTTCTGACTTAAAAGGTTTTTGCAAGAGCACAGGAATGGGAAAATACTGGAATTCAGGGCGTCACCTCCTGATTCCATCTCCTGTTACCTCCTGGGAATGAGAGGATTTTTCCCAAATCAAACTGTTCCACAATTCTGGGATTATATTCTGATCTAACAGAGGTTGATCTTTGGTTTCCTGTAATCCCAATTTTCCTGGACAACAATTGCAATGTCACTGAAAGCTTTTGGTGGGAGTTGGGGAAAAAAAAAATCCCACTGTTACTATTTACTGTGAAAAAATCCTCAGGTTTTCTCTAATATCCCATAAATGGAGGAATGTTACAGGGAAATTATATTTTAAGGTGTGGAGGAGTCCATAGGAACCTCCAGGATTGAGTTTCAGCTGATCTGAGGTGACCTTTTTTTTTACTTTAATTAAATTTAAATTTAAATTTTTAATTAAATTGCTGCAATAATCTCTCGCTTCCTACCCATTGGCCACACCCCCAAATTTACATTTACCTTCAGTAAATCTTAATTATCTAAAACCTGTTAAATTGTCTGGAGGGGAGAAAACTTCAAGGGGGATTGGTTTAGCAGCTTTAAAGTTGGTGGTGCTTCCATTTGGAATATTCTCCATCCTCTGGGATTCAGAAATTTGGGATCTGCCCTCCCTGGGTCATCTTTAACCTCTCCCTGTGGAGCAGACGTGGATTAGCCCTGACTCAGCCTGGAGCTGATGGAAAACCTCCAGAGCTGCCATGGATGGTGGCCTCTGGAACAAATATTTTCAGGATTCAATTTGTCTTGGCAGGAAATGGCTCCGGAGGGTTTTTATCAGCCCGAGACACCTTTTAAGGTGTCTAATTAAAAAAAAAAAACCGACCACAAGAAAAGGCTACAATTCCTCCTAAAGCTTGGCACGTGTTGGCATTTTCTACCTCCTTTGTTTCGGGAGAAACTTAATCAAAAGCTGTTTGTGGATGGAGAAAGGTTAAGCCTTTAAATATTGGGATTTACAGGGACTGTTGGGAAAAGGGGCTGGGGAAGAGCGGCGCCGCCGCTCCCTTATCTCCTTGGAAATTAATTACTTGGGGAATCAGCTCGGGAGAGTTTTGAGGAATTAACAGGGAAATCTGTGGCTTTTTAAAGGCCACTGGGAGCGGAATTATCAGCTGGGTGCGTGCTGGGACGTCAGAGGGCAGAGGAGGGGAGGGACAGAATTCGGGGTGGGCTGAGCAACCTTCACCGCTGAGCTGGGCTTTGCTGGAAAAAACAGGAATGTTGGTGAATCATTCCTGCTTCGGGATGATGGGGAATATTAACCCAAGCCCTGCCTGGAGTGGCTCATTGACCCTTCCTCACCTGACCTCCTCCATCCTCCCCTGCCTCAGTGCCAGGACACTCAGCCTGCACACATCCACTCGTTCCTGCTCCGCATTTTCCATCAACCGCCCACAGAAGGTGGAATTCAGCCCCTTTGGGGTTGGCTGAGGACAGCCAGGATCGTTTTCCTGGCCCTTTGGAGTTGGGTTTTCCTCTCTTTCCATCTGGGGCTCCCTCTGAAGGAATAGAATTGATCCATAAATCCAGCAGAAGCCTTGGAGCTGCCCCTGGATCCCTGGAGGTGTCCAAGGCCAGGTTGGATGGGGCTCGGAGCAGCCTGGGATGGTGCGTGGGAGGTGTTGGGGTTGGAATGGGATGAACTTTGAGGTCCCTTCCGACCCCAACCACTCTGATCCCACTGATTGTCCTTGCTCCAGACCTTGTTTTGTCTCCCAGGCTGTGTCTGAGGGCTGAGCTGCCTGGAAAACTGGTTCCATTTTCTGTTTCCCTGGAGCTGCACAAGAGCAGTCTGAGGGCTGAGCTGCCTGGAAAACCGCTTCCATTTTCCACCTCTGTTTCCCTGGAGCTGCACAAGAGCCTGGATGCTCCAGGCTGGATCCAGCCCTGGTTTAAGCAGGGAATCAGCCGGGAAAAACCTGGATTATTGCAATCCTTGACCTTCTTCCCATCCTGGTACTGGATCTACTGTGCCTTGGAGCGGGGGTTTTATCCTGGAGAAGTTTGGGTTTGGGAAGCACGGGGAGCCAGCAGAGCTGCTGGGAGAGCTGGGAATGTTCACCTGGAGAAGGGAAGGATCGAGGGAGAGCTCAGAGCCCCTTCCAGAGCCTAAAGGGGCTCCAGGAGAGCTGGAGAGGGACTGGGGACAAGGCATGGAGGGACAGGACACAGGAATCCAGAATCTCTGGATCCCTGGGAGTGTCCCGGGAAAGGTTGGAGCAACCTGGGATCAGGGAAGGTGTCAGGGTTGGAGTGGGATGGGATTGAAGGTCCATGGATCCCATCCCAAAACATTCTGGGATTCAGGACACTCAGGATCCATTCCCAGGGATTTTTTATGGGATTTGGGGATGGAAAAGGGAAGGGAGACCCTTCCTGGAGTCCCCAATTCCCAGTGAAGCTCCTGGAGAATGTTCACCTGGAGAAGGGAAGGATCGAGGGAGAGCTCAGAGCCCCTTCCAGAGCCTAAAGGGGCTCCAGGAGAGCTGGAGAGGGACTGGGGACAAGGGATGGAGGGACAGGACACAGGAATCCAGAATCTCTGGATCCCTGGGAGTGTCCCGGGAAAGGTTGGAGCAACCTGGGATCAGGGAAGGTGTCAGGGTTGGAGTGGGATGGGATTGAAGGTCCATGGATCCCATCCCAAACCATTCTGGGATTCTGGGATTCAGGACACTCAGGATCCATTCCCAGGGATTTTTTATGGGATTTGGGGATGGAAAAGGGAAGGGAGACCCTTCCTGGAGTCCCCAATTCCCAGTGAAGCTCCTGGATGCCAAAATTCCTTCCCGGAGAGGAGTCAGGATGGGGATGGATCCAATGCCAGGCTGGGAGAGCTGGGAATGGAGGGAATTCCCTGGGAAAGGGGAGCTTGGGGTGGGGTCTTGAGAAGGAATTCCTGGCTGGGCTGGAATTCCCAGAGAATCCCTGGATCCTTGGAAGTGTCCAAGGAAAGGTTGGAGCACCCTGAGATACTGAGAGGTGTCAGGGTTGGAATGGATGGGATTGAAGGTCACTTCGATGGGAAACCGTTCCATCATTCCATGATTCCATGAAAACGTGTGACAGTTTGTCCTGCAAACCCTGGGGCAGCAGCTGCTGGGGCCACAGCAGCCATTAACTCACCTGATCCAACTGGGAATTCCTGTTCCTGCAGGAATACCCCACTGGAGAGGGATCAAGTGATCCCAAACCAGGAATAAATCCAGGCTCTAACCCAGGATCAGATCTGGAGAAACGAGGCCGTGTCCTCGCTTAAATCACTTTAATCCTTGCTTGGTTCAGGGTGCCCTGCCTGGCACCTGATTCCACTTTCCTTTAAATCAATTTAATCATTGCCTGACTCCTGATTTCACTTTTCCTTTAAATCACTTTAATCCTTGCTTGGTTCAGGGTGCCCTGCCTGGCTCCTGATTCCACTTTCCTTTAAATCAATTTAATCATTGCCTGGCTCCTGATTCCACTTTTCTTTGTTGGAATGATTTGATTTCAGTCGTGAATCCCCAAATTTAATCTGGGAAAAACCCATCCAGCGTGCTCCGTGTGGGATTCAGGCAGGGAAATCAGAGCCACCCTTCATCCTGCCATTCTCTGGGCTCGCTCAGAGTGGAGAATAACGCAGAAAAACAGAACAAATCTGTTTGTCTCCATTGCTGTTCCAGTGCTGTGTCCCAGACACGTTGATTAATCTCGGAACGCGGCGTGCCGAGATGGAAGATCAGCATGCTCATCCCTATTGTTCTAATTCCGCAGTCTGGGACAATAAATGGTGCAATATCCATGGAATTCACGCTGGAAAATCCAAGGAAAACGCGGATTTCACTCGTTGTGGTGTTGTGTGGATCTTTGTTCCTCCGTGTTTTCCTTGCTCATTTCCAAAAATGCCATAAACCCATAAACACTCAGAGCTCGCCTTACGCCAGGAATTCCCATATTTACAGCCACAAACCCCCTCTGGAAACGAGTCCAGCCAAAGCTCCCAACCCCCGGGAACATTCGCTTTGCCTTTTTTTGGCTCTTTTTGATTTGACTCTTTTTTTTGTTGTTGTTTTTATTCCAGGAGTTTTTTGAGAACCCCGCCTTCCGCCCCGACGGGATGAAGCTGTACCCCACGCTGGTGATCCGCGGCACCGGGCTCTACGAGCTCTGGAAAACCGGGAGATACCGGAGTTACCCCCCCAGCACCCTGGTGGATCTGGTGGCCAGGATCCTGGCCCTGGTGCCGCCCTGGACGCGCGTGTACCGTGTCCAGAGGTAATTCCCGCCTGGAGTTATCTCCTGGCTGCTCCGCGAGGGATTCCGGCTTCGATTGGTTAATTACAGCCCGACCTGACTCGGCCTTCGTTATCTCCCAGCCTTAATCAGTAATTAAGCAAAAATCGTAGAGCTGCTCCCTCTCCGTGCGGGTGGGAAAGGCCGAGCGGGATGGGGAGGTGGGAGATTGGGAAGTGCACGGAAAATTCCGGAGGCACCGCTTCTGCCGCTGGCTGGGGCAGCAGCCAGGGCTGGGAGGATCCTGAGGGATAACGGGTGGATCCCGTGGTGGATAGTTAATTGGGTGGATCCCATGGTGGATAGTTAATTGGGTGGATCCCGTGGTGGATAGTTAATTGGGTGGATCCCGTGGTGGATAGTTAATTGGGTGGATTCTGTGATAGAGCCTGCGATGAATAATTAATTGGGTGGATCCTGTGATGTTGGGTGGATCCCATGATGGATCCTGTGATGGGTAATGGGATGGATTCCTTGATGGATGATTGGATGGAGCCCATGGTGGATAATGGATGGATCCCATGATGGATAATTGGGTGGAGCCCATGGTGGATAATGGATGGATCCCATGATGGATAATGGGTGGATCCTGTAATGGATAATTAATTGGATGGATCCTGTGATGGATAATGGGATGCATCTCTTGATGGGTAATGGGATGGATTCCTTGATGGATGATTGGGTGGATCCCATGGTGGATAATGGGATGGATCCCGTGATGGCTAATTGGGTGGATGCCATGATGCATAGCGGGATGAATCCCATGATGGATAGTTAATTGGATGGATCCCGTGATGGATACCTACTGGGATGGATCCCATTACAGATAATTAATTGGGTGGATCCCATGATGGATAGTTAATTGGATACATCCCGTGATGGATAATGGGATGGATCCCTGATGGATGACTATTGGGATGGATCCTGTGGTGGATAATGGGGTGGATCCCATGGTGGATCATTAATTGGGTGGATTCCATGATGGATAATGGGGTGGATCCCATGGTGGATCATTAATTGGGTGGATCCCGTGATGGATAATTAATGGGGTGGAATCCGTGATGGATCATGGATGGATCCCATGATCCTCTGCCAGGAATGCTCATGCAGGATTCCTCACCTGCCTGGACTCTTTTCCTTGATTTTTCCCTGGAACTGTGGCAGGGTGGGGATGAGCAGAGGGAATTGGCACGGGAGGAGGCAGCTGGAGGTGAGAAACACTGGGAAGCTTCGGCCAAGAAAATCGGGATTTAGGGATAAAAGCAGAGCTTCTGAATTATTTAAAAATTTATTTTTCCTCAAAATTCTGTTGATTTACAAGGACAGAGAAGGTGAAAGGGCTGAAGGGGGAGGCACCAGCAGGAAGTGGGAATGGGAGATGGGATGAGAGAGTTCAGGGGAGTTTGAAATCCGGAATGAGAGGGAATCCAGGGGAGTTTGAAATCCAGAATGAGAGGGAATCCAGGGGAGTTTGAGATCTGGAAGGAGAGGGAATTCCAGGAAATTTGAGATCTGGATTGAGAGGGAATCCAGGGAAATTTGAAATCTGGAATGAGAGGAAATCCAGGGAAGTTTGGCATCTGAAATGAGAGGAAATTCTGGGAAGTTAGACATCTGGAATGAGAGATGGGATGAGAGAGAATCCAGGGAAATTTGACATCTGGAATGAGAGGGAATCCAGGGAATTTTGAAATTCAGAATGAGAGGAAATCCTGGGAAGTTTGAGATATGGAATGAGAGGGAATTCCGGGAAGTTTGACCTCTGGAATGAGAGGTGGGATGAGAGGGAATCCTCCCACGATGCTGTGGAGGTGGAAAACAACAGGAAGGGCATCACCCCCCTCCAGGGGTTTTTTTCCTTGGATTTCAGTGTTTTTATGGATTTCCCTCTCACTCTGATGATGGGGAGGTGGAAAAACAAGGAAGTAAAAATCCTTCCCTGGGAATGGGGCAGGGCAGAGAGCCAGATCCAGAATTTCCATGGAAGTTCCAATCAGTTGCTCCACAAGAAACCCAAGGAATGGGAATGTTGGGAAAACAGGAGGTGAAATAAACCTGGCTGCAGCTGCTTTTCCCCATCCATATTTTAACTTCCTTGGCTCCCAGCAGGCGGATGAGCAGCTCTGGGCTGTAATCCACCTTTTATTTGTGGGATTTTGGTTACAATTCCCTGGATTTTAGCTAAAAACCCAGGTCAGGAGCGCATCAGGATTATTTTATCTCTGTTCCTGGGAGGGAAAATCCACCCAGCCTGGCGTTTCTGGAGCTGTTCCATAATTGTTATTCCCTGGATTATCCCTGTGGAGCCGAGTGTCCTCCAGTCACCACGTGAAGTGCTCGTTTTTTCCCCAAATTGCAGCTTCTTGGAGGGAATTTTGTAGCCTCTGCAGGGTCTTTATTGACTCAGAGAAATCCCTGGATAAAGGCTCTCTCTGGTTAAGGAATTTTCCTCAGGCAGGACACGAGGAATCATCCCCAGATCCTGTGGATTTATAGGAAAAAAAACCAAACAAATCCTTTTTTCCTTTTCCCAGGGAAAGCTTGGGGGTGCAGCACACAGGGAATGGGATGGGGGGGATTTTGGGAAGGAATTCCTGCCTGGGAATCCCCATCCCTGGAATTGTCCCAGGAGAGGTTGGATGGGATTGGGATGGGATTTAAGGTCCTTTCCAGCCCTTTAATTCTATTCTACAAAATAAAATCCTGTTTTTTCCTCCCTTTCCCAGGTTTAAGACCCTTTAATTCCTTTATTTCTTAACCAGTTCCTGCCAAACTCAGGAATTATCCATGAGTGGGAAGGAAAATCCACCGGGAATTAATTCCACGGAGCTGTGGAAATGGAGTGGGATGGAATCCAGCACAGATTGATTCATTAATCAATTACTTAATCAATTACAGCCCCAATTCCCTGAGCACCCCAAGCTCCAGGTGGGATTTTTGGGATGTTCAGCCGATGAAAAGGAAGGAAAACTCACCCAGGAATGTTTGGGACCGACCTGGTGCAGAGCTGAATTCCCTGTCCCTGATTTCCCTGGAATTCTGAGGGGGTTTGGATGAACAGGTGGAATTTTATCAGTGGGGTGGGATGAGCCAAAATTGGGATCCTTCTTTCCCTAAACACTGAAATCCCCCTTTCCCTAAAAAGAAGAATTCCAACTTCCTCATCTCTTGGAAGCCAAATTTGCTCCCAAATTTCCTTGGAGATCTTCAGGTTCCTGCCATCCTCAGGCTGGGATTGCCCTGGAATTTTCTGCTGCACAGAACTATCCCACTTTTTAAGGGAAATACCAAAATCCCACCAGGAAAATGTTGTGATTCTGATGGATTTTCCCCAAATTTCCCAATTTCCAGCAGCAGATGATGAAGAACAGCTGGATGATCCCTTTTTTTTTCCCAGATTCCCAGGTGGAAAACTGAGAAAACCCAATTTTTTTAGGATTGTTACAGATTTATTTTTTTTTTTTTTCTTTTTTTCCCAGATTCCCAAGTGAAAAACTGACAGAAAATCCAATTTTTTTTAGGATTGTTACAGATTTATATTCAGGGTTTTTTACTCTTAATAAAATCCGTGATTTCTTATTTTCATTTTTCTTCATTTCTCATTTTTACTTTTCTATTCATTTTCCTCCTGCTTTTATTTGATTTTTTATTTCTAATTCAACCAAAGACTTGAAACCAAAGGATTTCAGCAAATGTGGGAATTCAGCACTTTGGGATTTTGGCCTGGTGGAGTTTTTTGGTGAATTCTCTGCTAATTGAGCTGTTTAAAATTCGGATTTTCCTCTTTTTTTTGCAGGGATATCCCGATGCCTCTGGTGAGTTCTGGGGTGGAGCACGGGAACCTGAGGGAGCTCGCCCTGGCCAGGATGAAAGACCTTGGGACACAGGTAAGTTAAAAAAATTAATTAATACACATTTGAAATATTTATTAAATATTTTATAAATAATTTATATTTATTGGTAATAAATAAAATTAAAATATTTCATCGTTATTTTAAAAAATAGTAAATAATGAAGAAAAATTCTCTCTGGTTGTGTTGAGGGAGAGCTGATGGCTCCACTCAAATCAGGAGATAAAAACCCAAAAGAACCAGATTTGGTTTAAAAAAACCCAAAAGAACCCAATTTGGCTTAAAGAAAAAAACCCAAAATAACCAGATTTGGCTTAAAAAAAAAACCCAAAAAAACCAAAAAACAAAAGAACCAGATTTGTCTTTAAAAAAAAACCAAAAAAACCCATATTTAGCTTTAAAAAAACCCCAAAAGAACCAGATTTGACTTTAAAAAAAAAATCAAAAGAACCAGGTTTGACTTAAAAAAACCCAAAAAACCAAAAAACAAAAGAACCAAATTTGTCTTTAAAAGAAAACCAAAAAAAACCCCATATTTGGCTTTAATAAAACCCCAAAAGAACCAGATTTGGCTTAAAAGGCCTTAAAAAAAACCCCAAAAAAAGTAAATTACTAAAAAGCACCTCACTGAAAAGCTGCTTTTTTTGGGTGACAATTTCAGTTTCGCTCTTCCACCCCTCTGCTGAATGCACCTGGAATGTGGGAGTTTAAATTCCTCTTTTTCCCTTTTTTTTTTCCCATTTTTCCCTTTTTTTCCGCCATTTTTTCCCAATTATTTTCCCATTTTTTTCCTTTTTTTCCCCCATTTTTTTGAGCAGTATTGGACCTCTGAAATCAGAGGGAAAAGAGGGAAAAAATTCCTTTTTGAATTCTCCTGCCTTTCTCCTTCCCACAAGAATTCTGGGATCCAGGACACTCAGGATCCATCCCAAGGGATTTTTATGGAATTCCAGGATGGAAAAGGGCAGGGAGACCCTTCCTGGAGTCCCCAGTTCCCAGGGAATTCCTGAAATTCCTTCCTGGAGAAGAGTTGGGATGGGGAGAGCTGGGAATGGAGGGAATTCCCTGGGAAAGGGGAAATGGGATTTGGGAAGGAATTCCTGGGGTATCCCAATTATCCCAAAACAAAACCCAAATTCCAGAAAAAGAACCCCAAATCCTCAAGAAAATAAAAATCCCCAAGAAAATATCAAATCCCAAAAGTTCCCCAAAAATCCCTTCAAATTTGGGAGGAATTTGGGAAGGAATTCCCAGCTGGGCTGGAATTCCCAGAGAATCCCTGGGAGTGTCCAAGGAAAGTTGGATTGGGGTTGGGATGGGATTGAAGGTCCATGGATCCCATCCCAAAGAATTCTGAGATTCTGGGATCCAGGACACTCAGGATCCATCCCAAGGGATTTTTATGGAATTCCAGGATGGAAAAAGGAAGGGAGATCCTTCCTGGAGTCCCCAATTCCCAGGGAATTCCTAAAATTCCTTCCTGGAGAAGAGTCAGGATGGGGATGGATCCAATGGCAGGCTGGAAGAGCTGGGAATGGAGGGAATTCCCTGGGAAAGGGGAAATGGGATTTGGGAAGGAATTCCTGGGGTATCCCAATTATCCCAAAACAAAACCCAAATTCCAGAAAAAGAACCCCAAATCCCCAAGAAAATAAAAATCCCCAAATCCTACGGAAAATATCAAATCAGAGGGAATTCCCTGGGAAAGGGGAAATGGGATTTGGGAAGGAATTCCTGGGGTATCCTGGTGATTCCAAGAAACCCCAAATCCCAGAAAAAGAACCCCAAATCCTCAAGAAAATAAAAATCCCCAAGAAAATATCAAATCCCAAAAGTTCCCCAAAAATCCCTTCAAATTCGGGAGGAATTTGGGAAGGAATTCCCAGCTGGGCTGGAATTCCCAGAGAATCCCTGGGAGTGTCCAAGGAAGGTTGGATTGGGGTTGGGATGGGATGGAAGCTCCATGGATCCCATCCCAAAGAATTCCGGGATTCTGGGATCCAGGACGCTCAGGATCCATCCCCAGGGGTTTGGAGGCCTGGAATTTTCTGGAATTTTCCGGAATTTTCCGGAATTTTCCGTGCTCAGAGCTTCCCTTCCTTCCCTTTCCTCCCAGTGCCGCGACGTGAGGACGAGGGAGGTCGGAATTCAGGAAATCCACCACAAAGTCCGGCCCTACCAGGTAAAAATTCCCTTTTTTTTTAATTTCCCTGGAGCTTTTCCTGAGGAAATTCCCGGATCAGAGTTCAGGAATTCCATCGCTGCCGAGGTTTTGGGGTGTTTGCACTTCCACAAAATTCACACCGCCCCTTTTTTCCCGGTAAAATCGGGATTTTGGGAAATCCAGTGACACCCTGGGTCTGTTGGGAGTAAGAATTGGGAATTTGGAGCTTTTTTTTGGGGGAATTTCCACGGTTTTTAGGCAAATAATGTATATTTAAATGTGTGTTGGTATGTGAAAAAATGGTATTAAAATATGGATCTGTTTCATATTTTTATATATTTTTAAAAAATTAATATTTTTATTATTTATCAATTTTATAAGTATATATTTATCTATATATAAAATAGATATTTATAAAGTATTTCTATTTCTTTATAATATAAACAAATATAAATATAAAATATTTATATTTGTTTCTATTAATACATATATTTGACATTAATATATATAAATATATATGTTATCTATTTATTTTATGTAGAAATATGTATAATGTGTATATAAATGTGTATTTATAGGTATAAACACATATTTAAACATACTAATTAAATATATTAATTTATTATATGTTAATTTTTACGTGTTTATGTATATATATCTATTTTATAATTTTATAAATATATGTTTATATATCTGCATATAAATGTGTCTATAAATATCTCTTTAAAATATTTACATAAAATATAATTTTATACAAATATATAGTATATATTATATTAATATATTATTTATCTATTACTATCTTTTATGTAGAAATATAAATAATGTATATATACATCTGTATTTATATGTATAAATACATATTTATATTTATACATATTAATTAAATATATTAATATATCATGTGTTAATTTTTATCTGGTTTATTTATATATATCTATTTTATAAATATATATTTATATATCTACATATAAATGTTTCTATAAATATATCTTTATAAAATATTTTATCAATATAAAATATAATTTTATACCAATATATAATATATTATATTAATATATTATTTATTACTATATTTTATGTAGAAATATAAATAATGTATATATAAATATGTATTTGTACGTATAAATACGTATTTATATTTATACATATTAATTAAATCTATTAATAGATGTTAATTTTTATGTGCTTTATTTATATATATCTATTTTATAAATATACATTTATATATCTTCATATAAATGTGTCTATAAATATATCTTTATAATATACTTATATCTATATAAAATACAATTTTATACCAATATATAATATATTCTATTAATATATTATTTCTATGTTATATGTAGAAATATATATAATGTGTATATATATAAATACATATTTATATTTAAATATATTAATAGATTACATATTGAATTGTATATATTTTGTTTGTATATTTATATTTTTTATATTTTATTAATATATATTTATATATCTATATGTAAATGTGTCTATAAGTATATATTTATAAAATATTTATATTTATTTTTATATCTATATATATAAATCTATTATATAGGTATATAATAGATTAATAATAATTTATTTATATTTTAATTATTATATATAAATATATAATATCTATTTAAATATATATTAGTATGCCTATATTCCTGTGTTGTAACAATTAATCCATTCAGTTTTTATTAATGTTAATTGCTGTATTCTCTTTAGGTGTTCACATTTTTATTTGGGTTTGTGTTTTTGTGGGATCCCTGCCTCTGGCACTCGCCTCTGGCCGTGGTTTCCATCCCAAAATCCCAAAAGATTCCCAGAAAGAAGTTCTGGCTCGGGGGAGAAAGGGGAATGTGCCCTGCTGGAGTGAAGCTTCCCTGGTAGCAAATTCCAGAATCCTGGAATGCTTGGGGCTGGAAGGGATCACCCTGCAATTCCCAGATCCTGGGAATTCCCATATCCTGGGAATGTTCAGATCCCAGAAATTCCCATATCCTGGGAATGTTCAGATCCCAGAAATTCCCATATCCTGGGAATGTTCAGATCCCAGAAATTCCCATATCCTGGGAATGTTCATATCCCAGAAATTCCCAAATGCTGGGAATGTTCATAGCCCAGAAATTCCCATATCCTGAGAATTCTCATGTCCCAGAAATTCCCCTATCCTGGGAATTCCCATATCCTGGGAATGTTCATATCCTGGGAATTCCCATATCCCAGAAATTCCCATATCCTGGGAATATTCATATCCCAGGAATTCCCATATCCTGGGAATTCCCATATCCCAGAAATTCCCATATCCTGGGAATTCCCATATCCTGGGAATTCCCATATCCTGGAAGTGTTCATATCCTGGGAATATCCATACCCACGGTATTCCCATATCCCAGAAATTTCCATATCCCAGGAATTTCCATATCCTGGGAATATTCATATCCCAGAAATTTCCATTTCCCAGAAATTCCCATATCCAGGGGGAATTCCCATATCCCAGGAATTTCCATATCCAGGGAATTCTCATATCCCGGGAATGTTCATATCCCAGAAATTTCCATATCCTGGGAATTCCTGTATCCTGGAAATTTCCGTATCCCAGAAACATCCCTATCCTGGTAATTCCCATATCCCGGGAATTCCCTCTTCCTGTTCCTCTGCTGATGTTCAGGAAGGAGCGAAGCGATTCCGGATTTTACTTCCAACAAACGGAATTCCTGCAGGAATTGTTGGGTGCTGGGAAAAGCTGGATCGGGGACCCACTTCACAACCCCTCTGCCCATCCCAGTTCCCAAACTGAGCCACGGATTCCTGAAGTTCCTCCTCATTCCTGCTTTGGAATTCCGCCGATTCCTCAGGCTTCGAGGAGTTTGGAGAACGTTCCCAGAGTTCAGCAGCTGGAATCGGAGATTCCAGGGAATTTTATTCTCCTTTCCTCCTCCACGAGGAGTGAATTTGTATAAAAACGCACAAAAATCCCCAAAAAATCTCCCCGTTCTTCCCAGATTCCCTCAGAATCTGAGGCTGCCCAGATTTCCATCCTGGGAATTCCCATAGCCCAGGAATTCCCATATCCTAGGAATGTTCATATCCCGGGAATTCCCATATCCCAGAAATTCCCATATCCTGGGAATATTCATATCCCAGGAATTCCCATATCCTGGGAATTCCCATATCCCAGAAATTCCCATATCCTGGGAATTCCCATATCCTGGGAATTCCCATATCCTGGAAGTGTTCATATCCTGGGAATATCCATACCCACGGTATTCCCATATCCCAGAAATTTCCATATCCCAGGAATTTCCATATCCTGGGAATATTCAGATCCCAGAAATTTCCATTTCCCAGAAATTCCCATATCCAGGGGGAATTCCCATATCCCAGGAATTTCCATATCCAGGGAATTCTCATATCCCGGGAATGTTCATATCCCAGAAATTTCCATATCCTGGGAATTCCTGTATCCTGGAAATTTCCATATCCTGGGAATGTTCATATCCTGGAAATTTCTGTATCCCAGAAACGTCCCTATCCTGGTAATTCCCATATCCCGGGAATTCCCTCTTCCTGTTCCTCTGCTGATGTTCAGGAAGGAGCGAAGCGATTCCGGATTTTACTTCCAACAAACGGAATTCCTGCAGGAATTGTTGGGTGCTGGGAAAAGCTGGATCAGGGAGCCGCTTCCCAACCCCTCTGCCCATCCCAGTTCCCAAACCGAGCCACGGATTCCTGAAGTTCCTCCTCATTCCTGCTTTGGAATTCCGCCGATTCCTCAGGCTTCGAGGAGTTTGGAGAACGTTCCCAGAGTTCAGCAGCTGGAATCGGAGATTCCAGGGAATTTTATTCTCCTTTCCTCCTCCACGATGAGTGAATTTGTATAAAAACGCACAAAAATCCCCAAAAAATCTCCCCGTTCTTCCCAGATTCCCTCGGAATCTGAGGCTGCCCAGATTTCCGGGAGTGGGGAATCTCTTCCCGAGTTTCTGCTGGAGGCAGCTCCGATCTGATTTCAATTGTAAATCTGGGGAGGGGGAGCTCATCCCGGGCTTTTCCAAGCGGAAAATTCCCTTTGTTCGGGTGGGAGAGTGACAGGCAGGAGCAGGAATCCCGGGAAAACCAGCTGGAGCGTTTTTCCATGGATGTTTGTGTGGAACAACATCATCCCCCGGATGGGAGAAGGATCCTGGCACGGATTAATTAATTCATTAATCGCCACCTCTAATTAACGGCTCCGCGCCTTTCTGTCACCAGTCGGAATTTTGGGGCGTTTTTCCATGTCTGGGTTTTTTTATGGAGCTGTCTTTTCCATCAGGAGCGGAGGGAGGGGTTGGGAAGGCTCAAAAATGGAATTATTGTGGTGAGGGAACGTCGGAGTGACAGATCCTGATTCCTGGAAAATCGGAGGGATTCTGTTGGGATAACGAGGAATAAATAAAGAACGTTTCGGGGCTGGTTTGGGTCCGGAGAATTTCCAGACATTTAACGGGATTTCACAGGGAAAAGGGAAGGTTTAGGGACAGGGAATTGTCCCTGAAGTGTTCAGGGACAGCCCGGACAGGGCTTGGGATCAGGGAATGTGTCAGGGTGGGAATGGGATGGGAATGAAGCTCCAGGGATCCCGTCCCAGGATTCTGGGATCAAGGACACTCAGAATCCATCCCCAGGGATTTTTGTGGAATTCAAGGATGGAAAAGGGAAGGGAGACCCTTCCTGGAGTCCCCAATTCCCAGGGAAGCCCCTGGATCCAAAAATTCCTTCCCAGAGAGGAGTCAGGATGGGGATGGATCCAATGCCAGGCTGGGAGAGCTGGGAATGGAGGGAATTCCCTGGGAAAGGGGAAATTTGGGGTGGGATTTGGGAAGGAATTCCTGACTGTGTTGGAATTCCCAGAGAATCCCTGGGAGTGTCCAAGGAAAGGCTGGAGCAGCCCAGAATGGTGGAAGGTGTCCCAGGAATGGGGTGGGATTGAAGGTCCATTCCCACCCAAACCATTCCATGATTCTGTGCCAGAGGTCATCACCATTCCCATCTGGAATTCAGTTGGCTTTGGGGAATCCCTTCCTGTTCGCTCTGAGCCATATTTATGGATCCATGGATTCGGCTTCGCTCTCACATTTTCCTTTCCCTCCTCACTCCTGGACCAGGTGGAGCTGATCCGTAGGGATTATGTGGCCAATTCCAAATTCCCATCTGGAATCAAATTCACTTTAGGGAATCCCTTCCTGTTTGCTCATATTTATGGATCCATGGAATCGGCTTCGCTCACACATTTTCCTTTCCCTCCTCATCCATCCCGCTCCCGGAGCAGGTTTGGTCGATCCATAAGGATGACGTGGCCAATTCCAAATTCCCATCTGGAATCAAATTCACTTTAGGGAATCCCTTCCTGTTTGCTCATATTTATGGATCCGTGGAATCGGCTTCACTCTCACATTTTCCTTTTTCCCTCCTTTTTCCCTCCTCGTCCGTCCCTCCCCGGCTCAGGTGGAGCTCATCCGCCGGGATTACGTGGCCAACGGGGGCTGGGAGACGTTCCTGTCCTACGAGGATCCGGAGCGGGACATCCTGGTGGGGCTGCTCCGCCTGCGCCGCGGCTCCCCGCAGTCCTTCCGCCCCGAGCTCAAGGGCGGCGTCTCCATCGTCCGGGAATTGCACGTCTACGGCAGCGTGGTGCCCGTCAGCAGCCGGGATCCCTCCAAATTCCAGCACCAGGTACCCACAACGTTCCCGGAATTCCCGCTGCTCTCGCCCCGTTCCGTCGTTCCAGCCTCGTTCCGTTGTTCCAGCCTCCTTCCATCTCATTCCCCCCACAAAAAAATTGGAGTTTTATTTAATTTTGCTCATTTGCTCTAAGCAGGGATGGAACCAGGATGGGATTTGAGATCCTGTTTGCTGGAATTCTGTTGCTTCCCAGTGTTTTCCCAACGGGGTCACGTTCCAGCCATTGCAGGAACTCTAAGATCTAACAAAATTCCTTGAGATCTTAAGAAATTCCTTTCTGGAATTTAAAAAAATTCCTTATTGGATGCTCCTGGAGCTGCTTCATCCCCAGCCCTCAGGAGCCTTTGGATTTCCTTGGTTGATGAATTCCTGCTCAGGGGAGGAATTCCGTTGGAATTCCCTGGAACCTGCAGCAGTTCCCTCTGGGAAGAGGAGGTTGGGTTTGGTGCTGCCCAGGTTTCTTCCAAAGGGACTTTTATGGGATGGGTTCTTCCTGATGGATTGGAATTCCCAGGAATCCGTGGCTGCCCCTGGATCCCTGGGAGTGTCCCAGGAAAGGTTGGAGCACCCTGGGATTGTGGGAAGTGTTGGGGTTGGAATGGGATGGGATTTAAGGTCCTTTCCAAATTTCTTCCCTTGGACACTCCCAGGGATCCAGGGATTCTCTGGGAATCCCAGCCCCTCCCCACCCTCCCAGCCAGGAATTTTTTCCCAAGATCCCATCCCAAATCCCTCCCCTTTCCCAGGGAATTCCCTCCATTCCCAGCTCTCCCAGCCTGGCATTGGATCCATCCCGATCCTGAATCCTCTCTGGGAAGGAATTTTTGGATCCAGGGGCTTCACTGGGAATTTTGGGACTCCAGGAAGGGTCTCCCTTCCCTTTTCCATCCTGGAATTCCATAAAAATCCCTGGGGATGGATCCTGAGTGTCCTGGATCCCAGAATCCCAGAATGGTTTGGGATGGGATCCATGGAGCTTCAATCCCATCCCATTCCCGCCCCACCATCCCAGGCTGCTCCATCCTTTCCTGGGACACTCCCAGGGAATCTCTGGGAATTCCAGCCCAGCCAGGGATTCCTCCCCCACATCCCACCTATCCCTGCCCTCTGGCCCTGGGAATTTCCAGTGTGAAATTCCAGGATCATTTCCCATCAGGGAATTTGACCCCGTCCCACTCCTGCCATGGAGAACCCCTCAGACTCTGGAAGTTCCAGTGAATAATTCCACCATGAGGAAAAAAATTCCCTGAGGAACTCATTGTTGACCTCAATCCTGCAATATTCCCGATCATTCCAAAAATCTGGATTTTTTTGGAACCCATCTTCACATTCTGACCTTGAATTCCCTTTTCTTTTCCTGTTTTTCGCTGCCATTCCAGGGATTTGGAATGCTGCTGATGGAGGAGGCGGAGAGGATCGCCAGGGAGGAGCACGGGGCACGGAAAATTGCCGTCATTTCAGGTATTTTTGTTTATCCCTTGGGGAATTTTTTTAGGATATTTTTATCCTGATCTGAAAATAACCCCAGTGCTGGGAGCTCTCCTCGGGACAGGGAGGATCCATCCGGAATTATCCCGGAGAAAGGAGCTGGGAGAAAAACAGCTGGAGCCTCTCCTCCTTTCCCGTTTTTCCTGACGTTTGGGACAGCAAAGGGAAAACTTTGGGTGGGAATTGTTGGGATTTTGGGAGCTCCAGGAAGCTTTTCCAGGTGGATGGAACCGTGGAATATCCGGGATCCAGCAATCCCTGCTGGAGCCTTGGGAGTGTGGCTGTTCCACCCTCTGGAATACAGTAATTTAATGTAAATTATAATTTTGGGGAATGATGGGGAGAGGAATTCTTGTTGCCGTAAGAATTTTAGGGGATTTAACAGCAGAGCTCTGATCCAGAGGGGTTTTTTTGGGGGAAAAATCCTCATTTTCTGCTGCCCCACCAAAAAAAAAAACCCCAAAAGAGCAGAAATCCACAGCTTGGATCCGTGCTGCTGATCAGATGGAAAATCCTGGGATTTTCATGGATCGTGGATGAGGGTCGGAGTGAGAGTGGGGACAACGTGCAGGAGGAGCCGGATGCTCCAAGGGAACGTTCTGGATTTTCTGGATTCTGTTTGCTGCTTGTTCCCAGAGCAGCTGTGGCTGCTCCATCCCTGGAAGTGTCCAAGGAAAACTGGGAACAATCTGGGATCGTGGGAGGTATCCTGGGAATGGGATGGGATTTAAGGTCCCTTCCCACCCAAACCCTTCCGGAATTCCATGGTTCCATCTCCCAGTGGTTTCCCTATTCCTGCTGCTGTTTGGTGTCAGTCTGAACTGGGAATTCCACACAGATTCCGGAATTCTGTGATTCCCTCTCCCAGTGGTTTCCCTATTCCTGCTTGGTGTCAGTCAGAACTGGGAATTCACCTGGATTCCAGAATTCCATGGTTCTGCCTCCCGGTGGTTTCCCTGTATCTGCTGGTGTTTGGTGTCAGTCTGAACTGGGAATTCTGTCCAGATTCCAGGATTCCATGATTCTGTTCTCCCAGTGGTTTCCCTATCCCTGCTGCTGTTTGCTGTCAGTCTGAACTAGGAATCCACCAGAATTCCATAATTCTGTCTCCCAATCCTTTTTCCATTTTCTGCTGCTGTTTGCTGTCAGTCTGAACTAGGAATTCTGTCCAGAATTCCATAATTCTGTCTCCCAATCCTTTTTCTATTTTCTGCTGCTGTTTGGTGTCAGTCTGAACTGGGAATTCCACCTGGATTCCAGAATTCCATGATTCTGTCTCCCAGTCGTTTCTGTATTCCTGCATGGTGTCAGTCTGAACTGGGAATTCCACCCGGATTCCGTTTGTATCCCTGGTGACCCAAGCACAAAATCCTGCAATTTCTCCACGATCCACAGGTTTTCCAGCTGTTTCCTTGGAGATGCAGAATTCCAGCCCTCCCGGAGGTTTTATCCGGAATAAAAACGCAGCCGGGAGCTTTTCCTCCGTCAGAGGGCGGAATTTTGGACTCTGAAATGGAATTTTTAATACGGGAGCCTGCTCAAAGTTGCATTTCCAACAGAAAATTATTTTTCCAAAAGGAAAAACATGGAATTTTGGGACAGGAGGGCGTGGAGGGGTTGGAGCGAAGTTTGGGGCTCGTCCCTTCATTAAAAATGAGCAGAACTCTTCATTCTGGGGAGGTGAAATCCTCATTCCAAGGGGCTGGAAAAGAGGATCTTGGAATGCCTTTTCCAGCTCTGAGTCCTGCAGCTGGTTGGATCCCGCTTGCCTTTAGGGAAGGAATTTGGGAAGCTGGAAAAGCCCAGAGAAATCTGGGATTTTCCAGCTGATCGTTCAGGGATTGAGGCCGGTTTGGAAGCGCGTTTTCCTCGATCCAGAGGGAGGGAAATTCAGGTGGAAAACAGGGAGGAAAGGGAAATCCTGACGTTTCCTGGCATCTCCAGCTGTTCCCATTGGAATCTCCTCCCTCCCTCGGCCAGCTGAGCTGGTTTTCCTTTTGGCTGGGGAGAATTTTGGGAACAATCTTCTCCATCCCCTTGGCGATGAGATTCCGGAATTTTTATCTTCCTGCCATGGAACCCTTGGATCCAAACCTGGAGATGGGAATGGAGAAATCCCTGGATCCAAACCTGGAGTTGGGAATGCAGAAATCTCTGGATCCAAACCTGGAGGTGGGAATGCAGAAATCCCTGGATGCAAACCTGGAGGTGGGAATGCAGAAATCCCTGGATGCAAACCTGGAGGTGGGAATGCAGAAATCCCTGGATGCCCCTGGTGAAGATCAGGAGCAGAGGGGTCGCACTGGGGTGGTGATGGGAGCTGCCCAATCCCAAAAATTTCAGGACACGGAGCGTTCTTCCAATCCCACAAATCCCTGTTTGAATGCTTGGCTATTCCTGGGAATGCGAAGCCACAGGAGATGCCACCAAATCCCAGAATTCCAGGGAATGGAGGGTTCTTCCAATCCCTCAAATCCTTGGTTGAATCCTTGGCTGTTCCTGGGAATGTGGAGCTACAGGAGATGCCACGATCCCAAAAAAACCTGGGAATGCAGGGCTTTTCCAGACTCTCAGATCTTTGGCGTTCCTGCAGGAATCTGTGATCCCGAGGAGAAATTTAACAAATTCCATGTTTTTTCTGGGATCTGGAATGGCTCATGCCAGTGGCTGACTCCAGGAACGCCCCGGTTCCTGTGCTGGAAGAAACCAGGAAGGGAAGCTCGGAATTTCAGCTGCATCCCAGGGTGTTAAATCCACCTGGAGCCAGGAATTTCCACGGAGAGAAGCTGGAAGAAGCTCCTGGTAAATCCCAGGAAGAGCTGCGCCCTCATTTCCTCCACAGACACCGGAGGAACAAAAAACCGGGATGCAGGCTCCTGGGTGAGGAGATTCCAAGGATTGATGGGCTCTGGGAAGGCTCCCTGGAGCATTCCCCCCATCCTGGAATTGTTGTTTTTGGGAATGCCAATCTCAGGGCCGTTAACGACGAGTGGAAATAATGAATTGGTGTTTGTCAGCTCTGGATTGGTGGCCTTTGGAGCAGGAATTAATCAGGGGGATTTGGGAAGAGCCGAGGATAAACCCGGAGCAGGGAATTCCTGCTGTGTGCTGGTTCAGGATGGGCTCAAATTGTGGAGGTTTGGTGATGAGACAGCTCTGAAAACGGGTTTGATGTTGGATTAATTGGGATTTTGGGGCAGGAATGAGCGGGAATGTCGGCTGTCCTTAAGCAAGGAGAAGTCGGGATTCTCCAAAGTGTCCTGGCAGGAAGTTTTTATTTCAATATTAATATTATCTGTATTTAAATGAAGGCAAATCCTACACAAAATGTGGGAGTTGGAAATGTGGGGAATCCTTGGGATTCCTTCCTTCCTGCCTTTCTTCCTGCCTTCCCCCCAAATCCACAATTTTTGAACTTCGATTGGGTGGGAATTATTCAGAAATCAGATTAATTCCCAGGGATTTCAAATTTCCAGCAGTAGGAGTGGGGTTGGATCAGAGCTGTGAACATTTTCCAGGGATTTAAAAGGGAATGTTCTTCCCTTCCTTGGGAACTCCGTGGGGATGGTGCCAGGCCGAGCTCCAGCTCTGGGCTCTGCCGGGCTCCGGGAATCGCTGCCGGATCCGCTCGGGGAATTCCCAGCTCCAAACCCTGCTGGTCCAGGGCTGGAGCCCCTCTGGAGCCAGGCTGGAATGTTCACCTGGAGAAGAGAAGGATCCAGGGAGAGCTCAGAGCCGCTTCCAGAGCCTAAAGGGGCTCCAGGAGAGCTGGAGAGGGACTGGGGACAAGGGATGGAGGGACAGGACACAGGGAATGGCTTCCACTGGGAAAGGGGAGATGGAGATGGGATACTGGGCAGGAATTCTTCCCTGTGAGGACGGGAGAGGCTTGGCTGGAATTCCCAGAGCAGCTGTGGCTGCCCCTGGATCCCTGGGAGTGTCCCAGGCCAGGCTGGACAGAGCTTGGAGCAGCCTGGGATGGTGGGAGGTGTTGGGGTTGGAATGGGATGATCCAAAAGGTCCCTTCCAGCCCAAACCATCACCGTGATTTTATCCCACTGATGGTCCTGGGCTCCCTCTGCATCCCTGATCCAGAGAGTCCAAACTGGGATTCAGTGAACCCAAACTGGGATTCAGCAAATCCAAACTGGGAGTCAGTGAATCCAAACTGGAATTCAATGACTCCATACTGGGAGTCAGTGAATCCAAACTGGGATTCAATGACTCCATACTGGGAGTCAGTGAATCCAAACTGGGATTCAGAGAATCCAAACTGGGAGTCAGTGAATCCAAACTGGGATTCAGAGAATCCAAACTGGGATTCAGTGGATTGAAACTGAGATTCAGTGAATCCAAACTGGGATTCAGGGAATCCAAACTGGGATTCAGCAAATCCAAACTGGGATTCAACAGGATAAGCTGCTGGGGCTCCTCCAGGGGCCAGGGACAGCCTCAACACTGCCAGTTCCTTGTCCGTGACTAAATCCCAGCTCAGTAAATCCCGGGAAGAGCTCGGGGCCGCGCTGACGTCCGCAGCGTTATCTGTTTGCGCTGCCAGCGGGAGCAGCCGGCCGTGGCGTGTTCCGACAGCTCCTCGTGTCCTTATCTCCCGCAGGAGGCCGGGACTGTATCCCTCCCGCGGCTCCTCAGCCCCGCACCCTTTCCTCGCCTTCCCTCCATCCCAAAGCCCGGCCTGAGCTCGTTCCCAGCTCGGAGTGACCCTTTCCTCGCCTTCCCTCCATCCCAAAGCCTGGCCTCAGCTCATTCCCAGCTCGGAGTGACCCTTTCCTCGCCTTCCCTCCATCCCAAAGCCTGGCCTCAGCTCATTCCCAGCTCGGAGTGACCCTTTCCTCGCCTTCCCTCCATCCCAAAGCCAGCCAGGCCTCAGCTCGTTCCCAGCTCGGAGTGACCCTTTCCTTGCCTTCCCTCCATCCCAAAGCCAGCCCAGCCTCAGCTCGTTCCCAGCTCGGAGT